CTGATTGTAAGCCTAAAACTGACATTTCCTGAAAAGTTATCTCTCAATTCTGATTGGTTGATTGGAATGATGTTCCAGGATCAACAAGGATGTTGATCCAGGAACATGTTGTACTTGGTCAAATCTCGCTCACCAAAAGGGCACCTTTAAAGCTGAGGTGTGTCATTTCTGTGCCACTGGGGCCTCTGTGGACAGACAAGAAGCAGCAAGCCATTTTAAGCGATAAAAAAATATCTGCAGGTGTTACTGTGAAACTGAGGGCAGCTGTACGATCTGCCTGGACGTGCCGACAGTCAGTGCTGTCCTGCTGTTATATCAGCACAGGTGTCATAAAATATGGTGCCAGGTATGACAGAGAGTGAGAGAAAAGTTTATTACTGCTTAAACATTTGCATTTTCGGACAAGGTCATATTCTTGTAAAAAAAATCCAGTCCTTCTAGACAAAGAACATCAAGATGAAAACAGTAAGATGATAATTAAATGTGCTTCCCACACTCTATGTTCTCACCAGCTTTCATACTCTTTCCACTGACTCATATTCTCATACCCTCAATCCCTTTCTGTCATTGGAGGGAGTATTGCGGCTTGATTTCATGGGGATTTCTCCTAGAAACTGCTAATTGCACATCTGTGTGTGTGCGTGCATATTATATGTTACATGTTCACTCAATTTGCTCTTTAATGATGCAGTGAACGAGACCTCCTCAGTTTGTCGTTATCCTCGGCCCTCCATTACAGCCCCTGCTGTGTTCGGGTTCAGAGCAGAATGTTATCAAACCAACCTTGAAGATTAGCAAAATTATCTCACTTTGCTACTTCAAGTGAGACTTTTTTTTTTAATTAGCCTCTTTTGTGATGAGTTTATTCTGTTTTAATTAGATTCTGTGACTGATGAGAAGAGATTTCAGTGACACCAGAACCAGCAGGCGAAATGTGGGTGTGTTATGGTTGTCAGCATTTGGGAGGGAATTTCTCATGCATTAAAGCAGAGATAGCCGAAAAGCCTTGACATTACTCACATAGCTGAGCCCTCTCTGTTTATCAGCACTACTTGTGCTTTAGTTCACCGCCGAGCGCTCGTGATGCCCTGTCTGGCTCTCGAGGATGTATGTGTGTGTGTGTTCCTTCCATATTTCTTCCTGAAGAACAAGCACATTATAGGAAGATTTGTTTTAGGATATCTCTACTTCCATTAAAGATTATGTATAGGATATGTGATTATTTTTATGCAATAGGAGTGTGAATGAATGAATCTGTGAGTGATTTTCTATATCCCCTTGTTTAGTTTGCAGACCCTGGTAGTGCCTGGTTAGCTTCTGTTTCCTCCTCACTCATTGAGAGTAATGGTAAACCTCTGAACAGTGCCTCTGAATATAAACAAGGGACAGGATATAAGTAGCAATTAGTCAACATTCTTTCTTCCAGTGGGTTTACAATGCGCATTGCAAAAACAATCCCTCTGGAGTAACCTGTGGTTAAGTGCTTTACTTTAGAGCCTGATAATGATGTCTCTTCAGTCTCAGGTCAACTAAGCATTGGTTTTAACTAGGGCTGTAGGGCTGGTGGTTAGTTGTGAAAAAATGCGATTAAAATATTTTAACGCAGTTAGCGTACTGGCCCCGCCCCCAGAACTGTACGCCATCTTACATTTCATACTGTTGACAAATATGATGCAGGACAACTACTCCTTAAATGCAGTTATGCCCTAAAATTCAAGATATTGGGGCAAAAATGCTCCTGTATGAGTTTTTATCTCTGATTTATATCATATTATAAGCGATATTACACGAGCAGCGAGAGCAATCGCACGAGTGCTGTTTTTGTCTCTAATATAACGAGTTTAAATGTGATTTTATACAATAGTTCAGTTGAAGTTAATATTGTGGTATATTTTAAACACAATATTGTCTGTTTTTGCTCAGTTTTGCCAACAAAAATATTACCTATAAAGCCACAGAAGAATTGTTGTGCGTCTCCGAGCAACACAGCGGTGTTTAATAGTTTCTCAGTGAATCTGCGTTTTGAACGAATGGTGTGAATCAATGATTCAAAGGCCCATTCATAAAGTAGCCTAAGCCATTTATGTCATTCCCGAATGAATTAGCTGTTTGAACGAATCGAATGAAAGACTCATAAAGACATTTACCGCCACCTGCTGGCAGTTTTAGTTTCTTATTTAGAATATTATTTCATTAAAAAAAAATAAAGAAAAATAAAAACTGTACAGGGATAGTTCACCCCCCAAAAATAATAATAATGTCATCATTTAGACTCAAACCGGAATGACTTACTTGCTTTTGTGGAACATAAAATAAGCTGTTTTGAAGACTGTTGGTAACAAAGCTGTTTTGGTTACAAATTACTTCCATTGCATGACCGAGAAAAAAAAAACTGAGATGTTTCTCAAATGATCTTCTTTTATGTTCCATAGTTTATGTTAGGCCATTGTAGCCTGAATGTTTATGTTTAATAAATTTTATGTTGAATCAAATTAAATATTTCTTTCTAAAGCTACTATTTGTAATGTCTGCTTTCTCATTTAACACAAAAATAGCATTAAATAATCTTTTGGGGGTATTTTCACAGCCAAATGTAATTTGCGATTAATTCGATTAATTAATCGACACATCATGTAATTAATTCGATTAAACATTTGAATCGACTGACAGCCCTATAGTATTAACATCAATCTCGCTGTTTACACATTGTATTAACATGCGTCTCAAATGTGTTTCCAGGGACCATATACATAACTCACAACATCAGCTGGGGTTATGTATGTAAGGGTCAAAGGTTAAGGTATGGATGGTTAGCCCCTGCTGGTAAATGCTGCAACTACACTATCTGTTTATAAAAAGCATCTTTCTCAGGCTGATAACTGACTTTAAAAAAAAAAAACATTTTAACATTTTGCTCAGATATGTTTAAAATCCAAACAATAAAGAAATGCAAATCAGATCTAAATTTCATATTTGCATTAGATGATGTTTAGACAGACTGCAGCTATCTGACACAAGTAAGAAAAACTGGTTTAAGATCTTAAATGTCAGTTTTGCAAGTGCCTTTATTGCAATATGTAACAATAAAGTGTTATCAATCTATTTGTCCCTCTATCCACTATTTTTCTGTCTGTCTGTCTGTGCATGGAAAGTGCCTTTAAGATCTAAATTCCTGTAAGTGAATTGTAAGAATAAGACAGATAATGTCTGTCAGTCTATTTATTTATTTATGATGCTCTTATGTTAAAGATATCTGAATAACTTTGTTCACGTCAGGTAAAGTGTGCTCCATGTCACTCGGGCTGTGTTCCACCGCAGGGTTCTGTAATAGTAATGCCATAAAGAGTGCTTTTAAGATCTGAATTCCTGTAAGTGCTGTTATAAACAGATGATGACAGGTATTGCCAGTTCTTTGCACATTTTCATGTACTGTACACACTTGCAAATGACCTGAAAGTATATCTAATCATTCCTTCCTTTTTCTTGAATGCTTGTGCTGTTATGTTAGGTCTATAGAAAATATTCTGGGTATTTTAAGTTGTTGTAAAAAGCATGTGACAGGTTTGTTTGTCCTCGGGCTACAAGTTCCCTTTGGCATGCTTTCACGGTGTACACCAGACAAACACACACAGGTGTTGTGTATAGGAAACTCTGGTTCTTTTGAACACACTGAATGTGTGTGCACACGTCTGTTTCTATGACTCATGCAATCGTGCCTTTTAGCAATGTATTTTCATATTGGCACACACAAGATGCAGCTTGTTCTACACAATACTGTGTAATTTTGTCTCATCAAAGGTTGCTTAAGTGTAAGCAAACATGCCATTTAAAATGCAGTGCCAAAATTGACTCATCAATGTGTTGTGGTTCCCCATATTTACTGGCAATGGTTCAAATAAATTGAAAAAGAAAATTGTTTTAAACTAGAAAGAAGGAGAGTTTTATTTGTACTCGAAATGTGAAAAGCTGCCAACATTGTCTACTGCTTTTGGTATGCGGTAAAATGGTGTCGGTTAAATTGGTGATGGATAAATATGTGTCTGTGGCAGCAGGAGACAGAGTGCTGCTATCGCAGTGGTCGATTTGAGATGTGAGGCCGCTGTTTTCATTAAAGGTCCTCTTCAGCTACATTTATAGTAAAACTGTTTGATCTCTCTGGGTCCTCTACCAGCAAAAAGCCAACTGAATGCAAAAGCAGCACGACTGAGTAATTTAAAATTCCACTCAATCTAGAGGTGAGCCTCCTTTTTCCATTAGATTGCTCATGCATTTTTGTGATATTGTGAATTTTTGGAATGATGATAAAGTCTGAAAAACCTGTAAATAATAATAATAACGAGGCCCTAGGAAAATATTAAATTATCCAAAACAATTCTGTTTTGATTATTAATTGTTTTCATTTAAGAAAATAAGTGTTTGTATTCACTGTTATTTATTATTTATATAGTAGCTATTTTTTCATTTTTTCATTATTCATTATTTATTAATTATTAATTTATTCTTTATATTTACAGTTTTCATTTGAATTCTACTAAGCTTTAGTAATTTTGTTTTGTGCTCTTGTCATTTTTATTACTTTTTGTATTTTTAAATATTTCTATTTCTATTTAATTTTAATTTTAGTAATTTAGCCTACTTCAATATAACTTAGCCAGGGAAACATTTCTCTCTTTTTTCTTTCTTTCTTTCTTTCTTTCTTTCTCTTTCTCTTTCTTTCGATTAACAAAATCGATTGTAATAGTTTTAGTTAACAAATTACCACTGTGGATTTGGCCATAGACTCCTGCAGTTGAATTTGTGTAATTTAGTCTGCAGCGATTTTATTTCTTCACTTAATGCTCTTAGCGGGATTCCGTCAATGTCTAGCGGGAATGGGAAATGGAAAAGCCGGAGTGGATCTCAACTGCAGCGATTACAAAACGCTTTGAACGGTTGAGGGAATCTCTGTCACTCCGTTCCACTCCTTTACGGTATTTCAGCCTGCGCGATGCTTAGAGACATAAAACTCGACGTTTTTGTCTGAACTAGTTTCGTAGTGAAGAAGAAATGCACCCGGCCAAGTTTTGTCTGAAATGTGAGTTATTCAGAATTAATTACTTTAAAACTATACAAATGGTATAAAAGCAATATAACACTCAAAGTTGTGCTGTAACCTAAAATTTTAGAAAAGTAGAATATAAAGAAAATAGTCAAAACAAAATGACATTTCAATGTGGATTAGGCTACAAGCACGAAAGACAAACAAGCGTGCAGATACGTTATCCACTTATCACCAAACATATTATTATGTTGGTAAAGCTTGAGCTTGAATGAATGCTGTTATTATGAAACACAGGTGTACTTTTATCTCACCACACTTGAGATCAATATGGCGACCGTTGAAGACTCTAGAAGATCACTCAGTCAGTATTAAAAGCCCTTCAATGAAACCATTAGAAGAGAGAATCAGCACTCACTTAGCGGCCTGGGGAAACAATGGAGGAGGGACCACAGAGAGTTTACACAAACACATGATGAACAAAGAGGTGAGCAGTCTATATGCAATGAGAATCCAGCACTATTAGTCACTGTTGCAACCGTTTAACATACTGTAATAGATCTAAAGTGAAGCATATGTGTAATTAGACGGAGGGAGAATACAAATACTGTACTGTAGCTGATTTAGAGGAAATGAGAGAAGGAGAGCAGATGGAGAGAGAAGGTAAAGCGAGATGAAAAAGCACTTGGATACAGCAGAATGTTTTATGGAGAGTATTTACGCACTCCTTTAGTCTGAGATGGCAAAGACAAATATAAAGAAAATACCATTTATACTGCAGAAGCATATACTGTTCATCAAAATCACATTCTCGCAGTAAGAAATCTGTTGCTATTGTGCTACAATTTATTGTTAAAGACCAGATAGCAGGGGGGTTAGAGTCAGGTAGAGAAAGATTAATGGAAAAAGAGAAGTAGAAAACATGCAATGTGTGTCTTCTGTTGAATGATGTCCATCACTAGCAGGGGAATGTGCGTACTGGTACAGTGTATGTTTTCCATCTCTATTTTAGCTTCAAATTCAGATAAACAGAGAGGAGTTTCAGAAAATGTGTGAGAGATTGTTCAATAACTGGAGTGGTTAAAAAGCAAGTGCACTGGTCTGTGCAAATGATAATAAATGACAGACATTATGTAGATAGATTATAGCAAACAGAATGATAGAAAAAAAAAGAAGGTGGCAAAAAGAAAATTGTCTTAGAAGGTACAAAAAAAACAGAGACAAAGACAAAAATAAGTAATTTTTTTGCCCCACTGCCAATTTTTGGCTTGTTTGAAACACAAACTGAATACAATTTTGTTGCAATATTATATTTTGTTCAATGATCTTTTTTTTTTTTTAAATGACAGAAAATGTATTTATTTATTTATTGCAATTTTTAATGTTTTGAAAATAAATGTAACAATAATAAATGTTTTTTTTTTTTTACTAGAAAAACAAGAAATAAAAATAAGACCGTAATTTGCAGTCTATTTGACTGTTGAAACAGATGCACCTATTGAAAGACCGATGAGGGGAAAGGATGGAGAAGGCCAAGAGGGATCCGTTTGGATGGGTGATGGGTGGAGAAGAATGAGGTAGTGAGAGAAAGAAAACAAGAGAGATAGATGACAGTGGAGGAAAGACAGATGGTGGAGTGAGTCCAGTTTTGGTAGAACTATTAATGGACACAGCTGTCACTTCTGTGTGTGTGTGTGTGTGTGTGTGTGTTTGTAAGGGAGATGTGTCTGAATATTAGCACCACTCTTAAGATGAAAATTCAAAACATTTGACTTCAATTCTCTTACTCTCTCTATCTCAGTTTTCCTCTTCTGTTAGACGAATCCATTTGTGAGATAAAGAAATCAAGAATTCAGTGTTTGAACATAGAGCACCTTCTGGTAGATGTGGTTACTACACCATCTGGGTGCAAAAAGCATTTTCTTCTTTGTTCATTGACTGCCATTTACAATTAGCCACAAAATATAAATGTGTAAATATTTCATTCTATTATATTAGATGTAGAACCAGCAACTATATTTGTTTGTTTGTTTGCAGTCTCTTGTACATGTGGAATGGATTTATATTTTTGCCTGTCTGCTGCCTTTGACATTACAGTTCAGGATCACTAGTGAAATGTTAGGGATTGTGCACATTGTTGTTGTGCCATCAGCCAAACAGCATTGCCATGACTCCATAATAATTACTCGCATGCATTTACTGCTTAGGTGATTATCTTAAACACCTGAATCTGGAACTGAATGCCCATCTCATGGCAGATTTCAAATAACATACTACGGTGGTCCTGCGCCAGCCGATCAATTACAACGAATAACAATACTAGTAACAAACACAGACCAGTGGTTTTCATCTGATGTTCTCAGCAAACGTCCAAGGAGACCTTTAGATGACTTATAATGATTTAAAATATAACACAATTTGTACTAACAGGATAATCCACCCAAAAAGGTGGATTTCTGTCATGATTTACTTAAAAATTTCTGTCATGATTTATTTACCCTCATGTTGTTCCAAACCTGTATGCATTTCTTTCTTCTGTGGAACACAAAAGAATATATTTTTATAGAATGTTGGTTACAGTTTTGGTTTCCATTGATTCAATGGGCACTGAAATTGTTTGGTTACCAACATTCTTCGAAATATCTTCATTTGTGTTCAGCTGAGGAAATTACATTTTAAAAATGTGATCTAAACTTGGAAAAGTCATGTAAATGAATAAAATCTTGATATTTTTATAGTGAATGAATATAATTTTTATGCCAAGATCTACATTTTTTTAAAACTGGTTGAAATTGTGAAATATTTTTTAAAAACGCTGCATCTTAAAATGATAATATGCATACACTGCCATCTAGTGCTGATAAAGAAAACGGCAAAGATTTGTTAAACCATGTTTAGGTCATGTATTCTATACTGAGTTTATTAAAACCCCCAGATTAATGCAGTTCAAATCATCAAGACCAGAGAAACAGCTGCGTGTGTCTCTGTGCGTGTGTGTTCTCATGTACGTGTATGTGCCTCATGCGGCATTAATGGCTTTTATCAAAGTGAATTAGGCATGAAGGATAGAAAAGCTGAGGTATCCCAGTGGACCGCGCATCAATGGAAAAACGGAGAAATGTAAAACACTCTCTCAACACCTGAGAGCAGAAAATTAGCCTGGAGACACTCCTCCAGATAAAGAACCCATTAAAGAAAGGACACATTAGCATACTTTTTCTGATTATTATTTATATATTTTTCAGGTGCGAAGAGAACATTTTTATTTATACCATCACGTATATCGCAGTTCAGTCTCAGAGAAAGAGCAAGATCGATGAAGACAGAAAGGTGACATCCATCTGAAGTGTTCTTGAATTTGGAAATATAAAGCACTGTGCCTAAATCTAAATATAAGACTTTATTTCTGTTAGCCAAGCACAGTATGTTCCATAACATGATACTGTATATTGTCAACACATGCACTCACAGGTCTACTGTGGCCCCAAGAAGTATTTAGCTGCTTAAGCCGCATTAATAATGTATGAATGTTATTGCATTAAATATAAAATGTCAACACAATCACATTTATTTTAAAGCAATATAGTGCAAAAACTCGTTGAAGTAAAACAGTTTTAGAGTTTTTTTTGTTGTTGTCTGTATCTGTCTGTCACACTGTTCTACTGTACGTTTGAAAATTAAGAGTGAATAGTTGGACATTCTGTGGTTGTCAAACATTAGTCTTATTGTGCTAGGGCACCTGTTTGAACCCTGGGGGAACACTAAGGGTCATAATCCACTGTTATGGCAGTCATCGCCTGCTGTGTGTTCTTCCGTCTTCCCTAGATGCATCACTGTGACCTGAGCTCTGGAATCAGACACAGAGCAGCCATTAAAGAGTTTTAACCATCTGGACAGAATGTGAGGTTAAGCGAGTAATAAATGTTACATGGACTGTATTCAAATTTCAAGTTTGTGTGGGTGTGTGTGCCTACTTAATATTTTAGAGACAAAGTTGTACCCAGAATTTTGAGCTAAATCTGAAAACCTCCTTTTAGGAATGTCCTCATTTTTGAAAATGGTATAAAAATGAAGCAAGTAAAGTTTAAAAACATTGTACAAATGCAGAAAGTTTTCAGGTAGGGTTTGGGAATGGGTAAGGATTAGGTTATAGTATTTATAGCTAGCTGTATATAAAAATAAAGTGTGTGTGTTTGGAGATGTCATCATTTGTATTAAAAAAAAAACACTATAAAAATAAAGTTATTTTTAATGTGAAAATGCAGAATGTTTACTGATTAGGGTTTAGGCTTAGGCTAATTGCACTCAAAAATTATTTTAAAGGTGACATTGTGAATGCTGAGAAACAGAAGTCTTAAAATGTTTTTATTATTTATAATACATTAAAAAAAAATTTATAGTATATTTATTATCTTTACCGGCAGTTTGTATACTGAAGAAAAAAATAGCCATCATTGGTATTTTTTCTACCTTTTTATTCTATATGAAAGGCAGGCGGTGTTTTGCTAACAAGATGGTCAGTAACATTAGTTAATAATTAAATGTCACTGTTGCACAATTTTATAAGAGTACATTCATGTTTGTTTTTCTTATCAGGTTTAATCAATGCGTTTAAAACTCACTTGTGTCCAAACACTCTGGAATCTATTATGGAACACATTTAAGATTTGTATAGAACTCTTTAAATGTGCTTGTGATATTGCTAATATGGGTAAATGAAATGGTTTTAAATATCATTTTAATCATGAATATAATCAAAAGAATTGTATTAATAACAATTATAATTTTAAAAAATATATATATTATAACTGTGATAATGGTACTGACAGGAGGTCTGAAATCAATCAAATCTTAGTAGGAATGGTAGTTTATTGTGTTTTCGAGGTGGCAGGTGGCTAATCAGGAAGGTTGTTGGTTTGAATCCCTGTCAAAACTCTTTTCGTCTGAATTCAGCTTTTGCCCTGGAGCAAAGTACACTGCCTGCTGTGTGCCAAGGCCGACCCCTTTCTCTTTGTTTGTGCAAACCTGATGATTATAAATATTTAAACCTAAAAAAATCAGTGTATGGAGAGCATAACTAAGGTTCCAGAGTTTCATATGGGACGAAGCAAGTAAATAGTACTGACATAATTGATTCACCCCCATGTTGTTCCATGACTGTTGTTTTTCTGTTCTGGAACCTGCACAGGTTTATGCCCAAGTTTTTACTGTGGTATTGTGTAGGCTTTACGTCTTTAAAACAGGACATTCTAAACCATTATATGCTGATGATTCTTCACAAAAATATTAAGCAGCACAATTTTAATTTATTGATAATAAGAAATGAAGCCAACATATTAGGAAGATATCTGAAGGATCATGTGACACTGAAATGAGTCTTCAGAATTCTCAGAAGTCGCTAAAACTTTAAAACAATTCTTATTTTGAAACTTTTGAACGATACTGTATATACAGTATACACAGAATATCTTTCTCATTTTATATGTCACATAATTTTCTGTAATGTAACCATAAACATATAAATAAAAATAATTCTCAGTCTTAAATACCCTTTTTTGTTCACAGATATGTGGATGATTACATAAGGAACGTTTTGCTGTTTCATTTCCAGCGTAGTTAATGGTTGAAAAAGCTAATCTGATGTTGCATAATAATTATTTGTTATAGCTTATCAGTTTCAACAATGTCTGATGCCAGATGACTGATGTATAGATTTATTTTGTGTGATTTTTACATCTTCCATTTATTAAACCAAGAACATCAGCTCATGATACTAAAAGGTCATTTCATTCAAAAAGCTCATTAAACTGAAATTTCTCAATTATAGTCAGTCATGGCAAATTGTACTTATTAACTGATTAACCAGTCTACTCCTAAATGTTACCAACTTAGCAATTTTGTTGCTAAATTTAGCAACTTTTCAGACTACCCAAGCAACTTTTTCTTCCAAAAGCACCTAGCAACAAATTTAGCAATTTTTAAAATGTATTTGGCAACTTTTATCAACTTTTGATAAGTGACAATAAAAATACATTTTCCATTCAAATTACACAAAAAGAGGAAACCAAAGATGCCTAACAGTACATGCATCATGTGAATTGAGTTATTTGCATTTGTTCAATTTAATAATAATAATAATTTAATAATTGTTTATTTATGATACACTTTGTTAGTAGCTTGTACCTGCAATTGTTGATCAGTTAGTACACTAAAATGAAAAATGGAAAAGATAATTTTCCAGGACATTATCCATTGTAACCCTGTAACCCAAAAACACAATGCGTAATTTAAAATGCAGGTAAAAAACCAATATGGAAAATTATTTCATATCAACATAGTAGATTGTGCCCTATTTTTTACAGAGTGTAGCATACTAACTAACTACTAATACACTGCTTAAAGCACTGCTTAATATTACTAGTTTACTAGCTATTAAGAAAAAACGTAATAAAAAAACTTCAATAATTCAATGTATTTAAAAAGTTATTTATATTTTAATATTATATTATGCATATTATTTTACAAACAAATCGAAATAAAAATTTTTGCTGAGATTTGATGTTGACATCACAACGTCATTTAGCAACTTTTAGCAACAAAACAACCTTCCTTTAGCAACTTTCTCTGAAAATTAGTTGGCAACACTGCTCCTCCTCAGAGAGAGAGAGAGAGAGATTGTTTGTCTTCAGTCAAAAGACCTAGTGTGAACAGTTGCTAATAACGGTTTTGATCCCGCTAAAAAGGCTTATATTTGCAGATACCATGGAAATTAATCCAGTTACAAGTAATTCTTCATGGAAGTGTTAAAACTTGCATATTTTGTAGCACTTAAGATTCCAGATTATTGGTATTTAGAGTTTCCATATTTTAGATCTGTTTGGTATTGCTTATGTAATGGCTCAAAAACAACTTCGTTTTCTACAAATGTGGAGTTTTATTGCAATTTGCTAATGCTCATGGACATATGAACCACTAAAAGTTGATATAATACAAAGATTTATTTAATCTATACAGATAAACTACAATGAAATAGTCGATGATTCTGTTTTAACCTGGACGTACGATAGAGGGAGCCAGGTAACAGTCAGCAGCAAAGGGTCTCTGATCTTCATCCAAAAACAGATTGTGGTTGAGCATTATATTTGATTTTACCCCAGAACGTCACATGATATTTATCCACTGATGTGTGTCAGGGTGCTATGTGCTTGTGCAGTATTTTTGACAGGGCAAAGGTAACAGGCCATTGGAGCCAAGAGTTCAACAGTCATGTTTTCACCTCAGTGCCGTCTTCTTCTGGGGTTCATATGAATGTAGTTCCAGGGTGGTGATAGACTCAAGACCGGAAAGAGATGGAGTTCTGTTGAGGTGTGATTAGGGCTGCACGATTAATCGAATGCGATTGTCATGCGCATTTTTATAGTAATGCCGGTTCTGTAATCAGCAGTAAATCATCATCACGTGCTTTCAGATGGAGCAGCATTTACTACACATAGCCGTAGTTCACTGACAAGTTACGCCAAAAAATCGCAGACGATATTATTGCGCGATTATGAAATCGAAGAAATCGTTCGCGATAATGACAGCTGTTTGCATAGCTTCTCAGTGAATTACGGCTCTGTGAAGTAAATGCTGCTCCATCTGAAAGCATGTGAAAATACCACATTTAATAACATATTTTTACTCTTTTATATGTCACATAATTTTCTGTAATGTAACCATAAACATATAAATAAAAATAATTCTCAGTCTTAAATACCCTTTTTTGTTCACAGATATGTGGATGATTACATAAGGAACGTTTTGCTGTTTCATTTCCAGCGTAGTTAATGGTTGAAAAAGCTAATCTGATGTTGCATAATAATTATTTGTTATAGCTTATCAGTTTCAACAATGTCTGATGCCAGATGACTGATGTATAGATTTATTTTGTGTGATTTTTACATCTTCCATTTATTAAACCAAGAACATCAGCTCATGATACTAAAAGGTCATTTCATTCAAAAAGCTCATTAAACTGAAATTTCTCAATTATAGTCAGTCATGGCAAATTGTACTTATTAACTGATTAACCAGTCTACTCCTAAATGTTACCAACTTAGCAATTTTGTTGCTAAATTTAGCAACTTTTCAGACTACCCAAGCAACTTTTTCTTCCAAAAGCACCTAGCAACAAATTTAGCAATTTTTAAAATGTATTTGGCAACTTTTATCAACTTTTGATAAGTGACAATAAAAATACATTTTCCATTCAAATTACACAAAAAGAGGAAACCAAAGATGCCTAACAGTACATGCATCATGTGAATTGAGTTATTTGCATTTGTTCAATTTAATAATAATAATAATTTAATAATTGTTTATTTATGATACACTTTGTTAGTAGCTTGTACCTGCAATTGTTGATCAGTTAGTACACTAAAATGAAAAATGGAAAAGATAATTTTCCAGGACATTATCCATTGTAACCCTGTAACCCAAAAACACAATGCGTAATTTAAAATGCAGGTAAAAAACCAATATGGAAAATTATTTCATATCAACATAGTAGATTGTGCCCTATTTTTTACAGAGTGTAGCATACTAACTAACTACTAATACACTGCTTAAAGCACTGCTTAATATTACTAGTTTACTAGCTATTAAGAAAAAACGTAATAAAAAAACTTCAATAATTCAATGTATTTAAAAAGTTATTTATATTTTAATATTATATTATGCATATTATTTTACAAACAAATCGAAATAAAAATTTTTGCTGAGATTTGATGTTGACATCACAACGTCATTTAGCAACTTTTAGCAACAAAACAACCTTCCTTTAGCAACTTTCTCTGAAAATTAGTTGGCAACACTGCTCCTCCTCAGAGAGAGAGAGAGAGAGATTGTTTGTCTTCAGTCAAAAGACCTAGTGTGAACAGTTGCTAATAACGGTTTTGATCCCGCTAAAAAGGCTTATATTTGCAGATACCATGGAAATTAATCCAGTTACAAGTAATTCTTCATGGAAGTGTTAAAACTTGCATATTTTGTAGCACTTAAGATTCCAGATTATTGGTATTTAGAGTTTCCATATTTTAGATCTGTTTGGTATTGCTTATGTAATGGCTCAAAAACAACTTCGTTTTCTACAAATGTGGAGTTTTATTGCAATTTGCTAATGCTCATGGACATATGAACCACTAAAAGTTGATATAATACAAAGATTTATTTAATCTATACAGATAAACTACAATGAAATAGTCGATGATTCTGTTTTAACCTGGACGTACGATAGAGGGAGCCAGGTAACAGTCAGCAGCAAAGGGTCTCTGATCTTCATCCAAAAACAGATTGTGGTTGAGCATTATATTTGATTTTACCCCAGAACGTCACATGATATTTATCCACTGATGTGTGTCAGGGTGCTATGTGCTTGTGCAGTATTTTTGACAGGGCAAAGGTAACAGGCCATTGGAGCCAAGAGTTCAACAGTCATGTTTTCACCTCAGTGCCGTCTTCTTCTGGGGTTCATATGAATGTAGTTCCAGGGTGGTGATAGACTCAAGACCGGAAAGAGATGGAGTTCTGTTGAGCGTGCTTCACTGAAAGATACGCATGACAATCGCAGCTTCTGTCGAATCGCGATCTCGATTCCATTTCGATTTGTCGTGCAGCCCTAGGTGTGATACTATGTGATTTAAGAGCTTTCTTGATGGTACAAAATGTGGTATAGCTGGTCGTTGAAGATGCCGGCGTAGGTGCTGACAGCACGAACTGTGTCTTCATACAGGTTCCTTGATGAGGGAGGAAAGATAAAATGTCAAAACTAAATAGATCGCAAGTCTTCATTTTCAGGGTGTCATGAACTTAATCACCCTCAGGCCATCAAAGATGTAGATGAGTTTGTTTCTTCATTGGAACAGATGTGGAGAAATTTAGCATTACATCACTTGCTCACCAACTGATCCTCTGTATTGAATGGGTTCCGTCAGAATGAGAGTCCAAACAGCTGATAAAAACATCAAAACAATACACAAATAATCAAAACTACTCCATTCCATCAATAACATCTTGTGTGGTGATAATCCATAATAACGCTTCTTCCAGTGAAAAAGTCCATCACCTGTTGTCCTCTCACTTTAAAATTCACCAACATACTTGTTTAGAACTGTTTTTGCCCAAACAGTGCTTGATCTGTCAATATCTCTCTTCTGATTCAGATGAAATGACTTTTTCACTGAAGAAAGTAATATTATGGATGGTTGACTCATATTTTAACCAGAAGCAATGGGTTGAAGTTAAAAATGCCTTGATGTTTACTTCTTACAAACACACAGCTTAATTATTATTAATTAAGCTGTTATCAATATTAATTGATGGACCGGAGTCATGACAGTTACTTGTGGATTATTGTGATGTTTTTTATCAGCTGTTTGGACTCTGACGGCACCCATTCACTGCAGATGATCCATTGGTGAGCAAGTGATGTAATGCAAAATTTCTCCTAATTTCTTCCGCTGAATAAATAAACTCTACATTCATCTTGGATGGCCTGAGGGTGAGTACATTGTCAGTAAATTTTCTGTTAAATCTCATCATTGCACATGTATTTTAATGGAAAGCTACACGTGTTCCTGTGTGTAAAAGCCCAGAAGGGAATGTTTGTAAGTACGGACTAGGGTAATGTATAAAATTAGATTTACTTGGCTTTCTCGTTCAGCTTGTAGCCCTTGATGGTCTCAACATAACCGCTGGCAGTGTCAACACTCTGGTCATAGTAGGACTTAAATGTGTCCACCACAGTGGCAATGGTTCCTTTCTCCTCCTCAACTTGCCTGGGCACACGGAAGCTCTCCGCTCCTGCAGGGGGCGGACCAAATTTTGAGAGAGTGAGATGAGTTTTAAGGTTTTTTATGAGTTTTAAGGCATTTTAGGTTACTTCATTAGCAGCAAAGCAGATATAATAATAATCCAAATTGAGTAGGTTTATGAATGTGTCTGTCTGTACGTACCCAGAGCAAGGAAAGCAATGACAGCTGTGATAGCCAGTAGCTTGTTCATAATGACAGGTATCTCTGAGGGATTTAGTAAAGCACTGCTCAGATGACAGCAGCACAAGTGTGAGAATATAAATGTGACCACAAGAGGGCATTATTATTATTTTTCACTTAGTAAGTCATTGATAGGCTATATAAAGCATACTGTATGTGCTGTTAGACCAGATTATCCCGATGAAGCCCTTTTAGTGGCATAAAAACAATTTCATATTTGTTTATTTAATCGATTATTAGTTTTTTTTGTTTTTCTAAGACAGCAACAATTTGCTCATATAATAAAGGTTGTGAAAAAAATCATAATGTTTAAGAAATCTGCATGTATTTTATCTATTATATTTGGAATAACATTGAAGCTTTTTACAAAACATACTAAATGCAGCAATATTATGTGTACAGTCATCTATACAGACTTGCGTCATGTGCATTTTAGGAATTAATCAGGTTTATGTATAGGTGCTAAACAGTCAAGAATCATAGAATCTGTCACAATATCCAAACATTTTTATAATGCCTTTAATACAAGAGGGAAAATATGGTTGTACTCACAGTTTCTCCTCTGCGGAAAGTGTGTCAGACAGGTTAGTGGCAAAAACTCTTTGGCCTATCTTATATATCGGTACAGATTTATTGACTTGATAACTCAAGTGCCAAAGTGCAACCGTCTCAGATAAATGTTATGTGAGTTTGTGTGTGTTGATGTGGGGCTGTGCTTTTTGCTAGTGCTTGTTGTAAGATAAGGGACTAAAATGAGATTACCTGTTAAAGAAGATATGGCTCTTCACATAAATAGACATACTGATTGATCACATTAAACAAACTCACTGACTTTGATCAACAGTCTGACATTTAAAATGAAGTAAAACTCATATCTGAGCTCTTAGTATGATAACACACTTGTTATAGCGTCTTTTATATTCTGTTCTCCATCCACCAGCAGACAGATAAATGCCCAGAGGCTCTTGTCTTGCGTAATTGAACTTCAACACGTTTCCAAATAAAGTCCTAAGTCTGTTTCACCAAATACACGTCAGCCTGTTGACGCTACTTCAGGTTATTTTTGCAAAAGTGTGAGTGTGTGTGTGTGTGTATCTAGAGCTTTCTTTGTGTCTGTACAAGATGGGACGTTTTTGAGTTTGTGAAATCAATTTCTTCACTAACATGAATACACTTTCTTTATAGGCACCTATGGCACCATGAAGAAGGGATAGTTCCTTAAAGCAAGGGATAGTTTAAAGGGATTCACGCAAAAATTAACATTTTGTCATTTACGCATGCGCATGTCTTTCCATGTTGAACATAAACGTAGATATTTTGAAGAATGCTGGTATTCAAACAGTTGATGGTCCCCATTGACTTCCATAGTATTTCTTTCCCTACTATGGAAGTCAGACGGGACCAACAACTGTTTGGTTCTTCAAGACAAAAATGCAACAAAAACAAAAATAATGACTTTATTCTCTTCATAATGGAGGCAGAGGGTGAAGCGGAGGAGAAGAATTGTTGAGTAAAGTCATTGTTTTTGTTTTCTTTGCGCACAAAAAGTATTCTTGTAGCTTCGTAAAATTACGATTGAGCCACTGATGTCACATGGACTTACTACATTTCTGTGCCTTGACCATGGTAGTTCCCTTGCTGTCTATGGAGGGTCCAAAAGCTCTCAGATTTCATCAAAATTATCTTAATTTGTGTTCCAAAGATGAACAAAGTGTTCTATGGAGAACCCAAAATGGTTCTTCTATCGTATTTCTTTGAAACCTCCTTTTGAAACTCTTTTTTTTTTTTTAAGGGTGTAGAGTTGTGTAATATCATGGACCAGCAAAAAACAAGCCACCAGTTGGTCATTCCAGGGGATGCAGTCAAGCTGATGTTTTAGAACATTGTGTTTGGTCAACCAGCTAATAACCAGTTACTTTATTGCAAACAACAGCTACGAGCTTAAGCAGGATGTCCAGGTCAGATATCAGCTGTTTTAGTTTTAGTTTCGGTGGAAATACGAAGGAGTCCATAAATGTGATAATTAACTAAAAAACGAAATAAGGGAGTGACAATGACTTTGGCAGCAGGGCAGATATCATAATGAGAAATCATAATGAGGTTTCATTGAAACTTAGGGATGATCCAGTGATGCTAGTGTTCCTTAGAAGGATTTTGGTTGGTTGGAAAATGGTAACAATATGTATAATGATAAATAGTTTATATATGTACTGTACTGTGTATTATTGTGTGTGTACGTGTATGAGAGACAACAAGAGAGAGTGTTATAAACAATAAACCCAGTCACTCGTATGAACCTCGGCAGGTGGTTACCATTGAGAGCTTCGGTTTTAACTCCCACATTATCACTGTAGGTCAGGGATGGGCAACTGGCGGCCCGCAGTGTTCTTAAATGGTACAAAAAGTCTAAATTATAAGAGGTCTTTGGGGACTGAAAGAGAAGAATTGCTATATGGATTAATATGACGATTAAACTTCAAAAGGCTACAATTTCACTGAATAAAGTTGAGCGCTGCATGTCAGCTTTGTGTACTGCGGTTACCGGGGAAACTCCCATTTATCCCATGTAAGTGGCATCTCAGCATTATACCGAAAGTGAAACCTGCTGGCAGAGGACAAATTTGCTTTTTCAAAAAGCCCATCTGCTATTTTTGCTACATATTTTTAAATGTGAACCAGTGGATCGACAAAAAGCTAATGCATTATAAAAATCTAAACAATTAAGACACTAAGATATATTTATATGTTATTTAATATA